GTTTCTTTTTTTTTTTTTTTTTTTCCTTTTTGTCTTTTTTTTCGTGTCCGGCAACGGATCGCAACCCTCAGTGTCGCGCCCGTACCGGACCGGGACTGGCAACGGGATCGCAACCCTCGGTGTTGCGTCCATACCTTGCTCAGCCAGTGAGCGGGAACCGGTCTGTTTGTGGGATCCGAACCCTTGGCGGGAGCGCCGCCGCGCTCCCAAGCGGCGCACTGTAGCAATGCGCCACCGGGCCGGCCCTTATATTACTATTTCAGTAATAGCAACTGAGTTTCAGTCATCTATTTGTATGAGCTATTTATATATTAAGGATAACCATTTGTCATATTTGTTGCAAATATATGTTTTCAAGTTTATTGTTTGTTTTCTGTTTGTGGTATTTGTTTTTGCACTAAAAAATTCTTTATTGCATAAAAAAGTTTTTTGATGTTTTCTGCATTAATTTCGATTTTTTAAATTAATAATAAAAGTATGGGCTGGCCGGTTAGCTCAGTTGGTTAGCATGCCATGTTATAATACTAAGGTCAAGGGTTCAGATCCCCGTACTGGCCGGCCACCAAAACTAATAATAATAAATACAATAAATAAAATTAATGAAAAAAAGCAAATAATTCTACGAGATATTATTTCCAAACCACTTCAGAATCCTCTTTATTATTTTAGTCATATTTGCATACCATACCATTTGTACTATTACGTATTTAATAATTTTTATGCCAACTCATTTGTTCACTTAAATAATTATCTTAAAAAGGAAACTATTATCTTTGTAAATTAAAGTCCAGTATTCATGCCATAAAGAGAAGGTAACTATAAAGATAAAATGAAAACAATTTCATAAAATGAACAATTAAAATTTTTTAAAAAGGACAAATTTTTTTTTATCATTTGGCCACGATAAAAAAAAGGAAAAAAATGTTATTTATCTTTATTGCTGGTTTTTTGTGTTTTGGGGGTTTTTTTGGTACCCCCCCAAACGTTGGCCCTGGCCAGTGCCTCTCCCCGCCCCCTCCACCCAGTCCCTTGCAGTGGGTTCCAGCTGCTTCTGCCCATTCATACTCTGGCCTCCAGAGGGCGCTGCTTCCCCGCTCAGGCACCTCCTTTCCAGCTCAGAGTTGACTCTGGAATCAACCTGATTCCTCTTCTGCAAAGTGAGAATTATAACATTGTGATAATGCAGAGAAGTCAAAGGGAGTATAGAAATCCCCTGGCTTAGGGTTCAGCGCCTACTCGACACATCAAGTTAATCCTGACTATTCTCGAAGAGTGCAAATAGAATAGTTGACACGTGCACTACAGAGAATTTAAAATACTCACTAAAGCAGGCAGAATAGTCTAATGAACCCCCAGCCCCAGGCCTGGCCACCATCACCCCCTACCCAACGCCACCCATCCCCACCCCAGCCACCTCCCTGACTAGTGTTATTTTGAAGCAAATCCCAATCATCTTATCGTTCCATAAATATTTTGTGTCTCTAAAAGATACAGACTCTGGGTCGGCCCGTGGCTCACTCGGGAGAGTGCGGTGCTGATAACACCGCGGTGCTGATAACACCAAGGCCACAGGTTCGGATCCCATATAGGGATGGCCGGTTGCTCACTGGGTGAGCGTGGTGCTGACAACACCAAGTCAAGGGTTAAGATCCCCTTACCGATCATCTTTTAAAAAATAAATAAATAAATAAAAGATACAGACTCTTTTAAAAAACCTAACCACAATCCTGTTGTCACACTTCAAAACTTTGCCAAGGATTCTTTAATAGCCACAGATTCCAATTTAGCTGATGACTGTTGGATTTTGCAATCATACTTCAGTTTGACTGTCAGCTCAATTAATTGCTGGGGGGCCGTGGGCAAATAGTTTAATTTCTCTGAAGCTTATTTGCATCATCGATCAACCAGAGTAGCACATTGAAGTCTCCAAGTTGCTGGGAGAATTGGAAACAGTATGTATATTATATTAGCACCTGCAAATTGAATCCCTCAAAATATATTACTAGGGACAGAGCAGTGGTTCTCAATGAGTTGGGGGAGGAGATTCTGCTCTCCAGGGGACCATTTACAATGTTGGGATACATTTTTGGTTGTCGTGATTGGGGGAGGGGGTGCTACTTGCATCTAGTGGGTGGAGCCCAGGGATGCTACTCAGCACCCTACAATGCACAGGACACCCCACCACGGAGAATGATCCAGCCCCAAATGTCAGCAGTGCCAAGGTCGGGAAACCCTGTTCCAGAGACTTAGATTTTAGTAATGCTTGCTGGAACATTGACATTGAAAGACAAGCTAGGTTTGATTCCCGACTCTGCTACTTGTTGGGTGAGCCTGGCAGCAGTAATAATACGAATTGATCATGGCCAATATCTTGTGGGTCCTTCCCATGACCCAGGCATGGTAATAGGCTCACTGTCTATATAAATGCATTTCATTCTCTCACCAATCCAGGAGGTTGTTGAGAGGACTCAAGACTGGAGAGGTGAAGCATCACTTTTTCAGGTGTACATGTTGTCAGATTCAAAATGGAGCCACCTGTGTTAAAACCTCTGACAAACAGAGCCAGGGAAGCCCATGAAGAGAGAGAGATCTCATGCACAAAAAAGCCTGATAACAGGAACTATCAGAAGGACTCCAAATTGTAACACCAAGGTTAGGGGTTCAGATCCCTGTACCAGCCAAATGTCAAAAAAAAAAAAGAAAGAAAGAAAGAAAAAAGACTGCAAAAGCACAACCGTACACAGAGACCATTAAAACCTTAACAAAAAATACTTCTACAAAGACAACCACCCAGCAACTGTCTATCCAACCTCGTACTGGTGACACCCTTGCTATTGATACTGGTGGCCGAGGATAATAATCTCAAAACAACTATGTAATCCTCCATCACGTTTCCTTTAAAACCCTTTATCTTTTTTTTTTTTTAACCTCCCTTAATACACACATAGTTTATGATGGCTTTGCAACGCTTATTCTGGAACAAATACCATTCTCTTTTAGAAAGCCTCTTTGTCTGTTATTGAGGTCGACACAGGCAAGGGGCTTCATCTCTCAGAATCTCGTTTTCTTCACCTGTGGGACGGGATCCTAATATCCACCTCTTGGAGTTGTTGTGGGGATGCCGATGCCAAATGCCAACCTGCTGGTACCTCCTAGACCCTCAACAAATGGCATCTGTTACAATGAGCCATATTTGCCCAGCACACAACAGTTAACCGCCAAGTCTGGCTGAGCGCCCAGCTAAGCCAGTGCCCAGGAGCCAAACAATTTCTTTCATTATCCCAGTTGCTGGGAGAATTGGGCACAGAAAGACTCATGAAATACGCAAGACAAAAGTTACTAGGATTGCAGGGAGCTTGTCTACCGGGCAGCGCCAGGCCCGGAAAACTTTCTTCTCCAACCTACATCCCCAGAGGATTCGAAATTGGCCCTTCCACCACCAGCAAGAACAAGACGGAGTCTGGAGCCCCCAAGGCAAGCCAGAAGGTGGGCACTGCGAAGGGCCTCTGTCCACCTTGGGGAAGTCCAGTCTTGCTCAGTTATCTGCGGTATTCAAGAAAGATGGACAGTTGTGGCTGAACCCGTTGATGTGATGATTATTTACTGAGCACCTACTGTGTATCAGTCATGCCGACCTTGGCAGACAAGATCCTTGCCCTCACGGAACCCACATTCTTGCGGGAGACCCACAGTAACCAAGTAGAAACATATCAGCTGGTGGTAAGTACCGTGAAGAAGATTAGAACAGGGTGATGGCATCGGGAGTGACTTAAGAATTCATGGAGCAACAGGGTGATCAGGAGAGCCTTACGGGAGGTAGCATTTAGGCTGAAAATGGGATGACATGAAATAATGCAGATGAGAGTTAGGTTTAGCACGTGCAAAGGCCGTGAGGCTGAAATGAGCTAGATGTGTTAGACCAGGGGTGATTCTGCCCTCTGGGGTATAATGTCGAGGTTCGGAGATATTTTTGGTTGTCACAACTTTGGCAGGGGGTGGGGGTCGGTGCTACTGACATTTAGTGGGTAGAGGCCAGGGATTCTCCTCGACGTCCTATAATGGGCTGGACCATCCCCACCACAAAGAATGACTGAGCCCCCAATGTCAATCATGCTGAGACAGAGAAGGTCTAGGCTAGAGAACAGAAAAAAGCCAGGAGGTGAATGTCAAGGTCCAAGCCTTCTGATTGTCCTATGGGCATCAGAAGGCAGAAACCAAGAGAGCACGGCCACACACTGGAGTGGGGTCAGGTCCAAGGGGCCCGGTGAGATCCAGGAAAGTGGGGGAGGGAGCAGAATTTCGGGGGAGGCAAATCCAAGGTCAGAAGACTGATGAGGAGGTGCTATTAAAAGGCCTGGACAGACGCTGGAGCCTGGAACTGAGGCCTAGAGGAGATCAGCAGGGTGTGGTTAAACCAGAGGTCCCTGGAGGAGAGGGGGCCAGATTAGCACTCATTCCCCAACTCTGTTTTTCTGGCTAGTGAGAAAATTCTCAATCTGAGCCTCAGTTCCTCATCTGTAAATTGGTGACAGTCAACTCTACTTATCGGGTCTTTACTGCTGAGCAAAGGATGAACTCAGTAGGCCTGGCTTCTCCACACCCTGCATGCTAACGGTTTAGCCTTAACCTGTTCCTGGGAGGTGATCTCTAAGTCCTTAGAATGTCCTGCCTCGTACAAATATCTTTGTTAAACTGGAGGTCCTCGGGTCACACCAGATAGTAACAGTGTGATTTATGGTGGGAGCTTTGGGTCATGCAGTATCATTCGACCTCAGGAGGGGCTGGAGATCGAGGTCAGCCATGTGGGTGGTCCACCATGACCATACGACTGACCCCCAATAAAAACCCTGGACACCAAAGCTTGGGGGAGTTTCCCTGTTGGCAGTACACCATGTGTGTGGTCACATATCATTGCTGGAAGAAGTAAGCATTGTCCATGTGACCCCACTGGGAGCAGACAGCTAGAAGCTCACGCCTGGTGTCTCCTGGACCTTGCCCCATCTGCCTTTTCTCTTGGATGATTTTAATCTGTATCCATTCACCATACTAGACCATAACCACAAGCATAAGGGCTTTTCTGAAATTGTGAGTACTTCTAGGGAATTATCAAACCTGAGGGAGGTCTTGCGGAGCACTGAAGAACAAAGTTTTTCCTGGGTGAACAAGGCAAGAAAGGGAAGTTGAGGCACAGAGGCTAGTATCAGCAAAGACACAAAGGTACGAAAAAGCCTGGACTGTTCAGCAGAACTGATATCACAGTTTATGGAGTGTCCATACACACCGGGCACTTTACAGACCCGTCTCCCAACGGCCTTGTGCATATTTTGTTCATGGTGGATATTTCGGCATTTGTGTGGATCTGTGAACACACAGTGCTCCCTTACGTATTGCTCCTGTAGTGAGTGCCCTGAGTGGTTCTTGTGCCAATTTTACAGATGATGTGGCCACTTGCTTAAATCCTCCAGGAAGGCAGTGGAGGAGCCAGCACTCAGACCAAGGTATACATCCATTCTCTGTGCCTCTGGCAGTGGTTTGTTACTGTTGGGAGAAGAGCAGGCAGGGCTCAGATCACCAGGGCATGTTTAATTATGTGAAATCAGGAGAGCCTTTCCCTGACCACACAGCTCACGTTTTTGATTCTCTCAAAGTGCGCAGTTTGATACTGGGAGGTCCTCCCCCTGCCCGTGGGGACTTGCTAATCTCTCTTCTTATCAAAGACAGCTGGCCGCAGGCTCCTGCAGATGAGGATATCTGGCTAGAGTTGATTTAAAGCTAGTTTCTCAGTTTCTTGGCACTGCTGACATGTGGGGACAGATCATTCTCTGTCATGGGGACGTCCTGTGCATTGCAGGATATTCAGCTGTGTCCCCAGCCTCCACCCACTCGATGCCAGTAGCATCCCCCAGTCGTGACAACCAAAAGTGTCTCCAGACATTGCAAGTGTCCCCTGGGGACAGAATGGTTCCCATGTGTGAACTGCTGGTTTAAATAGGAGATGTGATGCCCGCACATAGAAGGACTTTGCCTCATTTGAGGGGGCGGTGTGTGCAGGTTGGGGTGGGGGTTCCACATGGTGGTTTGTCCTTTGTGCTTGCCCTGTTGGGGCTGGGCCTGGCTCCTGGCATCCCATAGCTTCCCCCTGCACACCTGGGCCCAGGCTCAACTTACACGGAGTTCCCAGGGGACCCAGGTGCTCGAGAGGCTCTCTGGCCCCAATGCTCAGTGCAGGGAAACCACAGTTGCTGTGGCGACCACCGAGCACTCAGGGTGAGGAACTGGGAAGAAGCCTCCTGTGCCTGGTGGAGCCAACATCCAGGGTCTTGGCTGGGAGGCCACTGCCCAGCGTCCCCCAAATAGCACTCGCAGATCAAGGAGAGGAGCAGGGAGCAGCTGGTTTAGCTCCCCAGAGGCGCTGGAGATGACCGAGGCTGCAGGCTGCTGAGGGGGCCTTGGAGAGTAAGACAGTAGCCCCACTCCAGATGGCCCTACCCAGCTGGCCTCCCAGGAAGGCCACCCGGCCCCTGGTGTGAGGCTTCTGAGCCCCAGGCCCTTTCCTAGGGGGGGATCACCCAGGTGGGTGAGCAGCATGAGTGTGGGCCCCCTCAGCCCGGGCACACGCCGGCGGCTTCTCCATTGTCAGGCAGGCCCCCTCCCGGCGTCCCCGTCCAGTGGCGTGGCCATCTTCATCAGCTCGACAGTCTCAGGTAAGGTCAGGGCAGGGCTGGGGGCTTAGAGGCCAGTGGGCACTCTCAGGGAGTACCAGGGCCAAGGGTATGGCTCACAGGGATCCCTAAGGGACCTGGATGGGAATGCAGCTTGGCTGGATAGACAAGTAGGAGCTGACGAGGGGGAGCCTGCTGGACCCTCTGTGTCCTCCTTGATAAGCCAGACTGAGAGCCTGACTTGATAGAG